CATCTTTTACAAGCTATGACTAAATATCAAGTAACTATTTAAGATTTGCTGAATAAAAAGATGGGCCATTAGTTTCACAACAGATTGAGGGGTAGATGGGGGTTGGCTGTGCTGGGATTAAAAAAAATCTGTCAGTCACACAGTGGGACTTGAGCAGTCTCAATTTGAGCTATGTTATAATATAGGTTTAGAGACATGGAGGTTAAAATAGTCCAGGATAAAGGCTAGTCCATTTGGAAATCTTGACTTTGATTCATAGATCCATTTGATCCCTTTGAACCTTAAAAAACTTTATTAAGCCCTTTTGAGTTAATTCAGGGTTTTTTCACCCATGGCTTAAAACCTGTCTTCAAAATCAATCTCCGAACTCGTGGGCACCATGTGGAAGTGTAAGGCGGGGAAAGGAGGGAAGTGTTCTCTTGATACCTTTTGCAGCGTACCAGAAAATCTAAGTTACTCCTAAACTAACGTTCTTGAAAAAGATTCCATGCCTGATCTGCTTCAGCCACCTTCAGTAACTGTCTGTATAGCTTTTATCTCTTGTGATGTTTTAACATTTACTGTGATGTCTGATTAGATTGCGTTAAACGGGAGTTATCAAAAGTAGATACCCATTTTGAAGAGGAACTAAGGGGTCACAGGATGCATTTCTTCCTCAGAATAAGCATTGGTTCTAGAGAATTGACTTGAACTACAGGGGCTAGTCAAAAATTGAGAAAAATAGACATTCAAACTAGTGACCTTATCGGTGCAAAATGGAAGAATTCTGAGAGGAAATCTTCCTCTCATAATCTTGACTAACTCTAGTAGTGAGTCTGAGTTTGATCTATTTCTCATTGTGCAGAATAATTTATCCTTGACATGTTGGATGCAGCGGAAAACCTTTGTGCAGCATCAGCACTTTTTAGTGTTTGGAAGAAATGACAACTTCAGGATAATTCTTTTGCCTAAGTTTGCTCTTACCAAATTGCTGAGAAACTGAACACTTCCTCTTCGTTTATTGCAAAACTTAGATTATCTTTCTCCCTGGCAGGAATTGACTTTAAGATCAGAACAATAGAATTAGATGGAAAGAAAATCAAGCTACAAATATGGTAAGTATTCCAAAGTAATTTAAGTTTTCAGTGAGTATTGAGTTAACCTTTGAGCAGGAATACTTCATAGCTTTTGAGCCTGGGTGTACTGGAAGGTTCATATCACTTATTCATTGACTGTCCATAAGGTTTACGCTTTCTTTTAGCTTGCTCTTGGAGTGGTTCTCCTTCAGTAGCAGAGGAAACAGCCTGTTCACCTGCAAATGTTACAGCAACTTCACATTTCAACAAAGCTGTCCTCTTAAATGTGCTTTACCTTTTAGCTATTCCTTGTGGAAGAGTAGTATTAACTCAATAGCTGTAAACTAAAATATGCAACCTAATAAAATGTATCCTCTGATATTTTGAGACCTAATTGGACTCGCAGAGGCACAGGTGAGTGATAATGCTCCCATTCCTTTCATGGTAGGTTAGTAGAGACTGAGCCTCCTGATTGGAGCAGATGAGTGTTTTTGGAGTAGCATTAATACACATGCCAAATTTTTAAACGCTGCTGGTGAATGTAGGGCTTTTGCTGATTTCTCAAGTTCTAGGAAAGTCAGTTATGGTACTCACATGCGAGCCAGAATTTTTGTGCCTGAGGAAGCGAAGTGTCAGAAGTGGTGGGTACAAATTTTCTGTCTGTAATGCAAGTCAAAAAGCTGTTTTTTGTCAGGCCTTTGGGGTTCAGCTCCCCCTAGGCATGACTAGTAGCCAAACGCTTTGGTCCTCTTGTTCACGCACAGACAGATACTGTTTTGAAGTCATCCAGGATAAAATGTCGGCACTCTAAGGTATAGTGGCTGATTTTTAACAGCTAACTAAGTGAAAGTGCACTGTCCTAAAATATTTTACTGCTGCATGTTTTGGGTTTTGTTTAATGCAGGATTCTGATGCATCAGAGCTGCCTTTTTTAATTATTCTAGGGAAGGTTGTGTAGTGCTGAGTTTTATTGCTTGCAAGAAAATTTAAATGCTTTTGTGCCGTATTTATGGTGCTGCTGTAACCACTGATGTAAGTAGGGTAGCTTGGAAGTGAGGAAGATGTTGAGGGCTGAAGAAACTTATGCAAACAACTTCTAAATAGTATTTTTTCTTAATGAGTGAGTATCAATACCTTGTTACTCTGTTTAAAAAGACATCTCTAAGTGCAGAAGAATGTAAAGATCACCTCCAATAAATACCTGTTTTCACTGAATTTTAGGGATACAGCAGGCCAGGAGAGATTCCGCACAATCACAACAGCTTACTACAGAGGAGCCATGGTAAGTGCTCTCAGTTCGAAAAAAGTGGGTGTAACTAGTGTAACTGGTTTGCTGTTCTTAAGGTTATATCATGTAGGTCTTTAACTGGAGGACTGGATAATTGTGGCTTGAGTTGCGGGGCATGGTTTGTGGTTTGGTTGGGCTTTTTTGGTTTGTGTTTTTAAACCTGCTGCTACTTTGTCTAATCCTGGGTTTTGTGATGAAACTTCGAGCTCCATTGTCTTTTAAAATTTCTGAAGATTATAAGAAGCAGCTAAGTTGCCAAGCTTTAATCAGACAATTTTTTTTAATGCAATCAACCCTTTTAAACATTTGAAATGTTTGAAAAATAGGTAATGAATTGTTTTAATATTCAGAGTGTATTTCACTGAATTGCTTTTCCTTCAGCCAGGAGAGAATGCAAAGACTGGGGTAGAAATACAGTCCCCTACAAAAGCTATTGTTACTTTTTCTTCCATTAAGAATTACTTGAAGTCAAATAACTGACTTGGAGCCTGCACTGTTTGTGATACAACTGCTTGTAATGGTTCTTATGATTTGAGGTACTTAATGTCGGGACACTTAATTTTAACTTATTGACTTCTAGCTGTGCTGCTGCTGTTCCGTGTTCTTCCTGCTTTGTATGAACAGATCTGTTCCATTCATAGGCTGGCTGTGAGTCCAGGTTACTCCACTGTTACAGAATACAGATGGGGAAGATAGTAATGGTTGTGGCTCTGTGTTAAAGCTTTCTAGTAAAAGATTTTGGTAGCTGCATGGTCTTCTCCCCACCTCCCAGTCCATGGCCCAAGGACTTTTCTTTGTCCTACGAGGAGTGATTGGAAAGGCAGTAAGGAATGGAGGTGAACCTGGCAATCTGTCCTCAATGCAGCTGTTGTGTGGTTTCCCATGCTTTGCTAATTGAGAGCACACACTAGTATATGTACCTAACTGTCTGAAAGAGCTAAAGCTTGTGGGAGAGCACCTAGTGTCAGCCTTGCTGTAAGTATCTTCTGGCCCCAGCAGATTGGATCTCACAGGTTTGTCATCTTTGCTTGAAGCTGCTGCTTCTAAACTTAACAATAGTGTCCTGGTTGCTGTTGTTGTAGAATTTCTAAACTCTTCCAGACTAATTTCTAAACTTTTCCAGGCTAATAATTTAAAACTTCAAATAGGTGGTGTGTTTGACCTTTAACAGTGGCAAAAGATGTTAAATAGTAGTATTTTGGGTAAATTCTCAGCAATGGCATAATGTTTTGAGAAAGGATTAAAAATGTGTAAGTCGTGTGTGAAATTTCTTGCAAGTACACTCAAACCAACAACATACATCAAAAGTCAACCAACAGTGCTAGCTCATCTAACTAAGTTTTCTTAATTTTATTTAGGGAATTATGCTGGTGTATGACATCACAAATGAAAAGTCTTTTGACAACATAAAAAACTGGATAAGAAACATAGAGGAGGTAGGTGCTTTGGAGGGTACTTCTTACTCATTCCATCTCATGATTTCCCTGGGACAAATAATAATCAAGTAATTATTAAATGTCATTATAGTAGCCAACATATGTAGCCAAGTTAGACTGTGCCGTGAATGCAGCCATGGTTATTAATGGGGAGAATATTAGGTCATTCATCTAGGGATAGAAGGTAGAAAGCAAGTTTAAACAGTAAGTATAAAGTGTTTCAAAACTGCTCTTAATGTGACTTTCATCGCTCTTTTTTGCCTTTGGATGGCTAAGGAATGGGAAGGAGCAAGATACTAGGGTGTCCGCCTTTCACTGAGATGATAACAGATCTGTCTAATTTCAGTTGTTACTGTGTTGTGTGTTTGTCCAGTTAGAGATTTTTGAACTTTTCATTTGGTCTTGGGTAAGCTTCCTTCCTGCTAACTTACTGTAAATTATTTAATGAGACATCCTGTCAAGTAGGGATAGGTCATTATGAATTTTGAGGTGAGACCTTAATTTTAGTGAAGCTCTAGTTAGGTCACAGAATCTTACTGGGCTTTTTTTCCTTAAACATAAAATGCATGGGCTTTTCTTTAGTATTTTTCTTTGGCTCTTAAGCAAAATTCCTGTATCAGTGACCAATTTGATCCAATAGTGACCGGGCTAGAAGAGTTCTTTTGCTGAATTAATTATTTGCTGAATTGATTATTACTTGAAAAGTCTTTTATTAATAATGTATTTTAAAAAATGCAAATGTATCTCATAATGATACTCCAGCCAAAGAGCCCAGATGTCCATGCACCACTTTGAAGTAGAGTGTGTACCATCACATTTCCAGAATAGCCAAATGCCTGTGCATGTGTGCAACGTGGTACAGAACTCACGGTACTTTATTAGATCTGTAATAATAATCAGGCAAATTTAATCTAGGAATGTTGATTCCAACCTATTTTAGTAGTTGAATATTTAAATATTAAATTGCCTGTTTCGAAAGTCAGTCTCTTTCTCAGTAATACCTTCACATTAGATAGCTTTTTAAAAATAAAATATTCATTTGTGGATGAGTTTGACATGTGAGTTTCTTTTAGATAATGATGCACTTTTTTTCTGAGAGATTACTTTTTCTTCATTCAGCATGCCTCTTCAGATGTAGAAAGAATGATCCTGGGTAACAAATGTGATATGAATGAAAAAAGACAAGTCTCAAAAGAAAAAGGGGAGAAGGTAAGCTTTGGTGACTTACCTTATTTAGCAGCCTACTTTTCTTAGGATTTTGGCTGCTGTATATTTGGTATGTTTTAGGCATATGAGAGATGATGGGCCTCAAACTTCTTGTTTCAGAAACTTTTATATGTTATGGGGTGCCAGGTTTGGGTTTTTTGTTTTTAAATAGCACTTGACTGTCTTTAAATTTGAATAAACTTAATGGTACTTTTGTCTTGAGGGGAAGATCCTGTAAAGAATGTTGACCTTTGCTATAGCATGAAGTAAACTAAATCTCGGTACAAGGCTTTGTATAATAGTTTGATCATGTTGTACTAAATTCACCATGGTGGTGAACTTACTGTTGTCACGAGTACTGTTATTAAAGCTTAAGTAAGTAGTTGTTCTGCACAACAAACAAGGAAGTAAGAATACTATGCAATCTATCATGTACCCAGCTAAAGTAGTGTAGTAACACCATTTAGAGGCTGATTGTATGTAGCTGTCTGGTCTATAAATCCATATCATGTCTTAATGTTCTTTTAAGTCCTAAAGAAGTCTTTTTGTGAGCAATTAATATCTTTGTTGGGTTTGAATTTACATGAGAGTATGGCCTGTTCTAGTATTTCCTGTAATTGTCCAGTAACTTTAATGTTTTTGCAAGAGAAAAGCAGAAATGAAGCATGTTTAGTTTTGATTTTAAAGCTTGCTGCAGCATACAGCATCTATTCTGTTATGAACCTATGTGAAACGTTCCTTTTGACAAAGGAACTTCAAAAAAGCTGAAAAACTTTAACCTCTCTTACAGTTAGCAATTGATTATGGAATCAAATTTTTGGAGACAAGTGCAAAATCCAGCTTAAATGTGGAAGAGGTAAGAGATGGGTGTTACGCTTCGGTGTGTTCTTGAACTACTACCATGGAGGCATGTTTTCATGATGTACTGGGCTTTCTGACATGATCTGGGACCTGAAGTTCCAACTGTGCTCCTGGGTCACCAGTCTTGTTATACTTAGAGAGCTACTGTGAAATCCAGCATTTCTTGTTTTTTTGGTAATGTCTGTAATTGTTTGTGGGTTTTTTTTGATGGATATTAAGAGTTGTTTGCTATTATTGTAGCAGAAGGTTGCTTTAGACTTCTGTGCCTTGCTACTTAAAGGGCAAGTGCTTTTGAACAGGGAATAGGTGTAGTAATTTTAGAACAATGCTTTGTGCAGGAAATTGGATTCAAGATTCTTTACTTTCAGAATAACTTGCTACTGTGTCAAGGAGCCTTCAGGTTACTACTAAATGTGTGCTATGCAGATGGGACTGAAGATTTGTATGTTAACCTGGAACATCAGCATAGGCTGTCATAAGTTGGCTGATGTTAGAGGAGGAAGAAGGTATATAATCTATACGGACTTGCAATCTGTTTTCCTGCAAGTAAATTTTGTGCTAAAACCACAAGATCTCTATTTATGAGAGCATAAGGAAACAGAAGCGGAAGGAAGAATGGCTCAACTCCAGTCTATCTTACCATGTATCATTCTTGTCATCTCAGGGAGGGTGGGGGAAGGATCTTAATTCCACGGGAAGGATCTTAATTCCACGGGAAGGATCTTGTCTATGGACAAGAAAACAGTATGATACCAAAAGGCAATTGCATTAAGATTCATTCATTTAGATAAGGCAGACTTGTTCTTAAATGTTGTTCTTGTAGCTAATAATCCAAAAGCCTTTCGGTGTGTATTGATGGGATACCTTTTAAAAGTCCTTTGAACATGTACTTAGTTCAGATCATGCAGCTAACAAATAAACTAGAGAGATTGTTACTTTAAAATAACATGATAGATGCAGTGCCAGCCAAGCGTTTTTCCCGATTGCAGGATGATTATTATACAGTACAGTTAGAATGGACTTCTTTGCATTGTGCTGCATCTGGAAGCGCTTGGCCTGATTTTCACAGTGTCATTATGATTCTTACAGCAGACAGTGGAAGTGTGAATATCAGCAGCTAATACCAATGGTGGATAGTGATAGTCTCCTAATAAAAAGTACCTATCGTCTTCATTAGTTCCTCCAGATGGTTGACTTGCTCTTTTGTGACATGCCCTGCGATTTCATTTTAGCTCCTGTAGGTCATTAAATGCACACCATTAGGTTGTGCTTACTCCAAATGACTTGGCTAGCTGAATTTTTTTTTTTTTTAATTGTCACATGGATAGTGAAGAAAGCATTAAAAGATGCAGCTGGTATAGGCATTCAGCAAGTAATGATTTAGTCTTCTTTCCACCAAATGCTTATTAACTTGTGGTAAATGCCACAATTGTGATATTGTGATAAGAAGTGAATTAATTTATTTTATTTGTTGTCATTTATTAAATTAGTCTATCTTTGGGTATATTCCAAACACAATGAGAGGGGAAATGTTTACAGTTTTTTATATTCTGGAACTATCCTTGGATTGTTGATATCTCTAGATAGCTTAAAATCTTGCTTTTCCCTGTTTCTGGAGAATTGCAGAATTTCTGTGCTACAGAATTTTCTTTGCTCCTTCATACATTGAAGTCTGAGATGCTGAGATTTGTCAGAGTGATTTTTTTTTTTTTTTTTTTTTTTTTTTACTATGTATGTTGGAAGCATAAAAAAAATCATAGATAGCCTAAGAGCAAAACTTTTGGAGGACAAAAAGCAAGCTAACCTTAATGTGAATTCCCAGGCATGCCATCCTCAAATCTCTCTGTGGGTTTCTAGTTGCAATGCGCAACTAGGGGGGTGGTGGGCAGGGAGAAGTATTAACTGTATGCAGCCTTCTCGGTTTTGGTTTGTTTTTTTTTTTTTTCCCAGCAGGTATGCAGTGGGAAAGTCTGTTCACTTGCTTCAAAGATTGGAGTGATAGAGACTAAAAATAGCTTTTTCTTGTAAAGCATGCTTGTTGCAGTTTTAAGTAAACAGCTATTATAAATAGTACCTTGCCACTCGAAGTCCTACCAGTGGCCTACAGAATACTGTATTGTTATTGTGTCTGACTACTCCAAATCCGTTATCTTTAATGAGGCTTGTGACTAACTCTTTTTTTTTTTGTTTGTTTTGTTTTTCCTGCTCCTCACCAGGCATTTTTCACACTTGCACGGGACATTATGACAAAGCTCAACAGAAAAATGGTTTGTATTTCAGTTGGCATACAGACTAGATCTGTTGAAATGACTGATATAATAATTGGCTGAGTCGCTACCAAAAAACTCCTGGAGATTACAGTAGATGCTGGATCAAATCTGAGTAAACAGTGCTTTGTCACACTTTGTTACACATCGGTGTGTGATAGATCTTTATTTTGCATGAACGTTAACATAACATCGGGCAGCCTGAAATGGCTGTGTTCTTTTGAAATGTAACAGTGTGATCTTTGCTTTATTAAACTTCAAATTATGTAATCACTGCTTCAGCTCATACTTGAGAACTGGGTTGTTGGATAAATGTTTCTTTTTAAAATGGGTAGTTTTACTGAGTGATTAACAGAGTTTGGATAATCGAGGAACTGAAATTGCAAAAAACCTCTGCTCTGGTTATTGCTTTGCAAGGGGAGAAGTGGGGAAGGAAGACTGTGAAAGCTAGACTTATTTTTTTCTGCATTTTATGATGTTGATACTCTTCTCTCTTTCAGAATGACAACAGTTCATCAGGGGCAGGTGGGCCAGTAAAAATAACAGAAAATCGATCTAAGAAGAGCAGCTTCTTTCGATGCACGCTACTTTGATGAACTTCTAATGATAGACTGCAGCACACTTAGAACCTTTTCTGCTTCTTTGAAAGCACAGGGTCACAAAGCCTCAGAAATAATACCACCAAGCTGCTGCTGAGAGCTCCATTGAACGTAGACTGCGATACACAAAATACCAAGTGGATTTTGCTCACTAAGCCTATTGACCTGTCAGGCTTTTCTTTCTCAGATATGGAAGCTATGAAGTGGAGACACAAATGCAAGAGTTAACTTGTTTTCCTTTTTTACTTTCTGTTTTATTGCCTGCTGCAAAAGCTGCTATGTTTCTTTTAACTTTGCACATCCATATTGGCCTCTTACTGCCTGTTACAGCACAATCTTACATTTGTATTTGCACAGTTTGACTTGTAAGTAGGATTCTTAACAGATTTGTGCAGGTTTTTCTTTCTCTTTTTAAACAAATTTCTTTTCAAGCAGAAGAGCCAGGGGAAAAATTAAGTCTCCCGTCCATTATTTTCTATGCTGTACCCTCGTGGCATGGCTGCAGTATGGCTGTTGACACTCTGGTGATGAGAATTACTATAACAATTGGCATTTAACAATTTGTATGGGTTTTGTCTCTTAGATGCACAAATCTGTTCATGCAGAAGCTATGGCTTCTATTCTGAATGTAGTATGTTGCTTTTCTTTCTTTACCAGACTTAGCAAAGTTGTGTTCTGAATTGCCAGTCACTGTCTAATTCACAGATGCACCTTTCAGTTATTTGAATAAACACAGCGTCTTTCCTCACTTAATTTCCCTTTGTTAGCTCAAACTGTCTGCACCTTTTTTTGTTTCTGATGAGGAAGTACACTCTGGAGTTGAAATCATCGTCACAAATTGGCCTCATCACTGTCACTTAAGTGGCTTGCGGGAGCTGAATGCATGAGTTTTGAGTAACCTCTTTGTGGATTCATTTGTTCAGAAATGACTGCTTCTAAAGGTGACTTCCATTTCTACTGTTATTCTAAGGATAGTTCGTTAATATCTGTAAGCATTGACCCTTGACAACAGCGGTGTCCCAGAACTAGCTTCCTGTGCAGTTGCTAAAGTGGATCAAGTTCTGGCACTAAGGAAATGACCGCATTAGGGCTACAATGTACTATTAGTTAGGCGGTTAATGATGAATGTGTGAAGCCCTTTTTGGTCTGCTCAAGCAGTTATTTTTTTCATCCAAAACTGGTACAGTGACTTAGACTGTTAGAAGCAGAGTTGAAGTGTAGTTGCCTTTTTTACTCAACTGAGCATTGTATAACCTAGTCTTTGTTCTACTATTTTTTTTTATCGTCTCCTGAAAAATTTCCTCAATGAGCAATTAAAACAGGTGCTTTAGTTCTGTTGATGTGCCAAACTTGGACCATTGTAAGCTTTAACTACAAGTTTGTGTCCAGCATGTTTGTTACTAGGGGACAAGTGCATTACGTCATTGTCAAAGTTAAGGTCTGATGTGCTTGCTTTTGCTTCACTACCTTGTCTAGAGTTGTGAACAGTGAGTTGGTGGTTACCACAGATAACTGCTTCATTTTGTGATGTCAGGTACTAAATTGGTCATCTCTGGGTCTGTTGTAAATATTTTGAAAGCGAATGGGCCAATAGCGTTCGATTTAAAAGCTTTTGTTGTTAAAAGGTTTAACGTTAGTAGCTGGTTCCATGAAGTTTTAAGTGGCTATCAACCTGTCCCCACGTGCAGCTGCATAGAAATAGTCATTGTAACTAGGTGGTGGATCTCATAAACTGCTGTTGCTGCACTAAAACAGAAAAATCTTCATGGCAGCAAGGTTTAGTGAAAAAATGACGCAACCCTAACTGCTCTGTTGTCTACCCTTGATGTTTTTCTCGGACAGGCTAAAGCAGTTATGTTTTCTGTATGGTTAAAAAAAGTGCTTCTATACAGAAAGTGTTGTGACACCAATTATGAATGTTGTTTATTTTCAGTAATTTACCTCTGACTTATTTGGTGTCGTAATACTTTGATTTTTATCTCAGGGGTTGTCTGCAAACCAAAACTGACATGTTCTGTGTTTGGCACTGTTTACAGAATGCTTTGTATTGTTTTTCCTGTCTTCGCTGTGTGGTAAATGTTCATTCAATATTAGTCTCCATGAACTTCCCTTTGAAAGAGCCTGTAAGTAGTAGAGTCTATGAAGTGCTTCTTGAAGCAGCAGCAAATTGGGGTATCTGCTCTGGGGGGAGGGGGGTGGGGAGAAAAAAAACTTGCTATTTTCTTACATTTAGCTGTGCTAAACTGTACATAAATGTGAGGTAAGACCATAGGAAATTCACTTTATGCATGATAAAATAATGCAGTAAATATTTCACTTTGCTTAATGTTCATGTGAAGTTCATCTTTTTCTGTTTGTAGAAGAATTTAATGCAATTTTGTTGTCCCCTGCTGAAACTGAAGAATTCTAATTTCATGTGGTCTTATGGATAAGGTAAAATGCAGATTTCTCTCTCTTTCTTTGTTGTTTTGCCCCCACCCCTCTTCTCCAGCAGTATTAAATGGCTGAGTGGCTGCACTTTATAGGTGTGCTAAATTTTGGTCAGTGTAGACCTCTTTCTGTGTACAGTCTGCCTTGTCAGACATGGAAAACTGTGCTGTATCTTAGTGTGCAAATCAGCTGTGTGTTATACTGGGAAATTTTTTAGCTATATTTTCCAAGCGGGTGATGATAAAAGGTATGTTCTGCCTAAGCATCAGATGCTGGGTACTACAGGCTTTTCTAATATCACTATGATTGTTTTGTGCAGTCTCTGTTGCTACTTTGCTCAAGACTATATAATCTAAATTTTGAAGGACTCTTAACTATACCTCAGTCAACTAGTTAGTATTCTAATATCCATTAGAATGAAAGTAATATAATTATTATTCATTAAGCAGCAATTGTATTTCTGTTTTGTTCCAGAAATTGCCATTAACCTTTCAGAAAAGACAGACATTTTTTGGTGGATTCCGATAAAACAAAAATGCTGCTTATGCTATTGAGTTTTATAAAGTCTTTCCCTCAGCCCCGTGTCTGTGCACTATTATCTTGACCAATATTTTTCTAAAGGGTTTAAAAAAAAAAAAAAAAAGCCAAACAAAAAAGCAAACTGGTGTCTAGTGTCAGTGCTTTGCAATTTTAGCTTTCCGTCCATGCTCAGGAAAACATGCACAAGAAGTCTTTGCTGAGGGTGTACAAAATATTTGATTTACTTACTGTCTGGAAGTTCTGTTATTGCTACAGCTTAAACCACTCATGAAACTTATTTCAACTCACTTTTCTATTTGGGGGACAGTATCAAAAATGCTAATTGACTTTTCAGACCTGTAGGGTTTTTTACAGAAAGTATTTCCTATTGTAAGTACCTTTCCCATACTAGTCTGCTGAAGCCAAGTGAATTAAGTGGATCATTTTCACAAGTGAATAAAGGACTTTTGAATATACATATCACATTGAAATATTGTGGATGGATAATGATTTCAAAGTACATGAATAATATGTAAAATGCATAAATGTGTTATTTGTGGAAAATGCATCTGTTATTTGGTTATCTGTTAATGTAACTGAAATTTTGCAATGTTAAAATTCTTAAGGTTTAGTCTGTAGGTGATAATAGTTCTTTTTTCTCCGCCATTCACTGAACTGCTTATGCCATTCTCATTCATATAAATAAAACTTGTATTTCTTCCTTCCACGAAAGCAGGATTTCCATTGATTTTTCTTGTTTCTGTTGAATTTAAGTATTTTGGTGCATTCCTATGGCCTTACAAACATTTTTGCAAATAAAACTTCAATTACAGTTATTTTAATGCTATATAGCTACTAAATTCAGAATAAAAATTATAGTCCTTGAGAAAATGCTTAATTTTGAAATAGTGTTCTACTGTGTGTGTTTAAGCACATTTTATCGCTGGTATCAAGGTGTAATGTGAAAAGCTCCTGCAGATGAAAGTGAACTTGTCATGTGGTTAACTTGTAAACCTAATCATTAATTGTGTATTGATGTGTATAGACAAAAAACCAAACCCAATCCCTAAAAAAAAAAAAAACCCAACCTTCACACTCCGATGGTTTTATTATTCCATGTGAACTTTTTTACAACAATGTATGTCTCCAATAAAAGTTACATACTGAAAAGTATTTGGGGTATTTTTTGTGAAATATTCAACGTAGTTTTTATACAGTTGGCATTTCCACTGTTTTTGATACATCTGCTGTGGAAGGGTGTCCAGCTGACTTGCATCTGGAAAGCTTTGTTTAACTTCAGTGGCAAACCACAAGGGTTTCTGTGTGGCCTTGCTTGTTCCTAAACTTGACTGTTCTTTAGATTGCTCCTGAAACATTCTCTATTCCTGTAGTGATTGCTTAAATCTAAGTATATTATTTCAATGACCTTCAGCTTCTTAAAGAACCATTTTTACAGACATTTAGTGTTGTGAAACACTCTTACAAAGTAACTACTGAGGAATGCCAGTAAAGATAATGAGACACAATCTCCAGTTTGATTAAGGATTATCTATTCACTGAAGCAGTTAACACTTTGTGTTGTTTTTGTTTTAAATCAGTGTTATGTGAAAGGTATGACTCTTCATTAACGTGAGGCACAAATATTGTAAATAATAGACCAAATGTTTGTGTCCGGCTTCCTTCAGCACTGAATATGGAGGGATTTGACAGAAATATTTGTTGGCTATTATATTAGCAATAGTTCTCGACTTTCAAATTGGTGTGGTTTGGCAGTAACTGACAATTGGTATGAAAATTAGGAGATTAGGTGTGAAATTAGGAAAGAATGGTTTTGTCTACCCAAGGCAAAAGCAGATTAATAGTTGAGGCACCCAAGTGGGCACCCTAAGCAATAAATGGGAAACACATGGATGACAAGTAGTTTCTGAAGTTTGTGCTTTTTACATGTTCATCTCATAAGCTGCATTTAGCTGAAAGGATGTATTGTCTCTTTACCTTAAGCAGCAGAAAGCTGGAGTTACGTTCTTGTTATACCTTATTATTTGATGGTTTTGGTTTGTTTTGTTGTGAGTTTTTTCAGACTGCTTCTGGCAGACAAGTTTGCTGCTCTAGGACCAGTTGTTTAAACATTATCTTGCAGTTCCCGTTGATTTGAACTGGTTCTAGATGTTCAGCCGTCCTATAATCACTTCTGCAAGTCCTTCAGTTCTCGCAGAAGTTAGTGGCATACATCTGCAACCCAATAATGTTTTGAATACATTTGCATTCTCTGTTTGTTAAAAGGAAATAGCAGGCGTACTTACACTGTGTAAAACCGGTGGTTATTATTAGAGTTCCTGGATCTAGTTTTGGTTGCAGACTAGCAATTGCTATACAAATGGTGCACACCTGTAGACCAGAGGCAAGTTGTTGGTACATGTGTAGAATGTATCAAACTTTTATAATCTGGTAAATTGCTTTTTTCCTAAATGATCCTTTTTCTGTTTTGGTTGACAAGTGGCTCTTTAGAATTCTTGAACTATACTGAAGTTGTCAGTATAATGTAAGATTTCAAAATAATTTTTCTTCAGAAAGATTCTAATCTTCAAGAGATACGTAAATGAAGCTTTTATGCTGCATAATGTTATTCTTGTCATCTAGAGGTTTAAAGAAAGGGCATGGAATGGAATGCAAAACATATTGAGACTTTTTGGTGTTCTAGGATGTTTTGTAGTTGCTTCAAAAATTTTTTTACTGTCTTCAGCAGAGCACATCAGCAGTAAGCTTCTGGTGTGAACAAATCTTACATAAATTCCTCAG